ATACCCGGTTGTACAGATCTAACTCCAAACCAGGAGCTAAACAAATTATTACCAGTTATAGCATCAATAATTATTGTGAGAGGTGTGAGACTAATCACGAAAAACATTGCTCAACCCGCCCATAACCGCGGGCACGGCTATTCGAATAGTTTTACTCTGGCCAGAGGTGTACCACTGTACCCACAAGACACAGCCTCAACATCATGTCTACCATGCGTCGCGATACTGGAAAGTACCCGAATAGAGGCTGTGACAATACCCTTTGCACAACACAACTCACCACAGTGCACCATTCCTGGATCATAATCACCCCCTTATAAAACAAGGCATGGACTCCCCAGCGACCCCCGTGGGCTTATCTCCGCCACTTCTCAGTCTGGTGCTCCGCAATGAACCATGCTGTACAAAAGGTAAAGCCGTTGCCCACGCTGGCTTGTGGTTGGCACGGTTAATGTTTCACAACAGTAGCTCGCGAACCGGTCCTTAATTGCCATGAGCACGACCTTCAAAACCATGTGCTCACAACCCACCATTAATCATATTTTAATTACCAATTAATTATCATAACACGATTAACCATCGTGAGCTACCATTAAATATAACCATAAATAATAATGTAGTATATATGATTCATCCCATTAGTGAGCTAATGTTTCTAAGCATTGCTAAGCAATTATATCTAACATCTAGTTGAACCAATATATATAAAGCTCAACTAGTCAAATTATAATATCCCAAGGTATCAAGGAATAGAGTAATCAATGCAAACAGGCCATAACAAAGGAATAGATTCACACCACCCAGTGACATTCGAAAATAAATGCACAGTTGAAATAAATAGAGAATTTAAATATAGGATCAACATGCTCAAAGGATTGTGTTTAGGATCTGTGTGACTTGCCTTGCAATAATCGGTCTTCAATTAATCTTCTTGAATACTTCCAGCGCACTCACGAACCTTCGCAACGACGAAAACGACAAGCTAACACGCAAAACAAAGAAAAAGACTAATAAAAACCAAATAAATAGTACATATAAAGTAAACAAACATGTAGATCATAATTTTAGATGAATTATGAGACTTGAACGGCCTCATTCTGACTTCATATGAATTAAATATGAATTTTACAAGATTTAATCTAATTAAAGCCCATTTAAAAAGAATTAAATAAATTTAATTCTATTTATGGATAATTTTAATATGTAGATCTTTATTTTATACAACTTTAGAGACTTGAACCAACTAAACCCGAGCTAAGATGAATTAGTTATGAATTTTTAAAGATTAAATCGGATTAAAACACTTATATGGATTTTAATTGAATTATGACGCAATAAAGAATTATTTTTGAAAAGGAAAAGAGGATTATTGCGTCAGCGGCTAGGGTTTGCGGTGGACCGGGTGCACAGCGGCGGTCTACGGAACGGACGGCCGAGATCTACCCTATCCAAAACGAACGGCCGAGATCGATCGGTCCACGGCCGGACCACGAGAGACGACGACGATGACGTCAGCGACGACGTCACCACCAGCGGCGGCTCGGGCGCGCATGCTCGCCGGCGAACGACGGCGCGGCGGCGCGAACGGAGAGCACCCACAGGTAGCGGACGGCACGGCTACCTCACCGGTGACCAAAACGGCGGTGGAAGATCAACGGACGGCGACGGCGTCGAGGAAGAAGCGGCGGCGACCTTCGGCTTGACGACGACGGCGGTGTTCCGGCGGTCGACAGCGACGGCGGAGGGGCGGACGAGGACGGCGACGCGACGGCGACCACGATGGCGGCCTTCCCGAGCGACGGCGACGACTGGAGCGACGGCGGCGCACGGCTGGAGCGGCGGTGACGACGGCGGCGCGAGGTCTCACGGGGCTAGGGCGCTACCGACGGCGAGAGGCGAAGGCAAGAGTGGCGACGGGTAGCGGCGGGCTTGGGGGTCCTTTTATAGGGGCAAGGAGGCGGCGGCGAAGGCCCACGGCGACTGGCGACGAGAAGGAAAGATTAGGGTTCGGAGGAGAGAGATCGATCCGAATCGAACTCGAATCCACGGATTTCCAAACGAAATTAGCCGACGATTCCATAAGAGAAAAGATAGAGTGGATCGCGAGGATCATTTCCCCTCTATCGATTCGGCCGGAGATGGAAAGGAGCGACGGAATTTGGAAGGAGACGGCGGCGGCACGGCGCTACGTTTCGGGCGGCGGGCGGCCGGAGGTTGACGACGACCCTGACAGGTGGGGCCCACCTGTCAGCGGGAGAGAGAGGAGAGCGGCGGCTCGGTTGCGGGCCGGCTTGGGCCGAGGAGAGAGAGAAAAAGAGAGAGGTTTTGGGCCGACTTTCGGCCCAAAGCCAAAAGAGACTTTTAAAAACCTTTTTCAATTTAAATTATTCATGAAATGCAATTCCATTTATTAAAAATACTTTCTTGGCTCAAATAAATCCCGGAAAAATCTAGGAACTAAAGATTCAAGAGAAGTATTTAACAAAATTTTATCTAGCCCAATTTTATATTGAGATTTAGCAAATTAAAATTAGATCTTCTCTTTTAGGCTTTTAAGATCATTTCTAATAATTCCTTTTAAACAACAATTTATAATTTAAGGATTTTTAAACAAGAAAAGCTCTTAACAATTATAATTAGATCATTAATGATCAAATAATTACTAAACTGTTCTTTGTATCATTTAGGAATTGAGCTCCGAAAAATCCGAGAAAATTTCAGAGAGTATACTTAATCATGGAGAATTTAATAAAAATTAGATCCATCCATGCTTTAAATTTAGGAAATTTTATTTCCCACATTTAACTTCACTTGTAAATTAATGAACATTTAATATAAATTCTAATAATAATTTATTAAATAATTTATAAATCCTGAAACAAAAATCAGGATGTGACAAGTTTCCACATAAGAACCCAATACGAGAATAATCAAAATTCAAAATAAAAATAAAATAAAATCCAAAATTAGAAAAGGAAAGGAGAGTGCAAGTAGAAATACAATTTAAAAATAGCTGAAATTTGTAATTAAAAATAAGGAATATTGAAATAAGTTTCCATATAAGAACCCAATACGAGATTAATAAAAAACTGAAATAAAAATAAAATAAAATCCAAAATTATAAAAGTAAATGAGAGTTCAAGTAGGAATACAATTTAAAAATAGCTAAAATTCGGAATTAAAAATAAGGAATATTAAAAGAAGAGTCCATATAAGAACCAAATACGAGATTAATTAAAATTCAGAATAAAAATAAATAAATCCGAAATTAGCAAAAGAAAATAAAATAAGAGTTCAAGTAGGAATACAATTTAAAATTAGCTGAAATTTGGAATTAAAAATAAGCAATATTAAAAGAAGAATCCATATAAGAACCCAATACGAGATTAATTAAAATTTAGAATAAAAATAAAATAATATCTAAAATTAGAAAAATTAAAAGAGAGTTCAAGTAGGAATACAATTTTGAAACAACTGAAATTGAAAAAAAAAATAAAAACATTAAAATAACACAATACGATATTAACTAAATTTTTTTAAAAAAATTTTGAAATTAGAAAAAGAAAATTAAGATTTCAATTAGGAATAAAATTTAGAAATAACTAAAATTTGTGATAAAAATAAAGATTATTGAAAGAAAAGACCATCTAAAACACATGATGAGATAAATTAAGTAACATGCCTATAAAGGAGTAGAGTGGTGGTGGTTGATACGAGATATAAAAATTGTTAATAAAACACCAAATAGAATCCTACTGATGATTAAAAGGAGGGACTTCAGGCAGGCCATGAAGCAAACGTGTAAGGCGGTTGTCGGGACTTCTAGAAAGTAAAAAAAAACAAACCCCAATGATAATAATATTTAATTTTAAAAATCTCAATGACAATAAAAAGGAGAAGCAGTGGGCGGGGTGTATAAGAGTATAGTTGCAGAGCCGCCGACGGTTGATGGGACTTCTAGAAAATAAAAAATGAATTCCTACGATAGTTATGTTCGATGGTTAGAATCACAATGACAATAAAGAGTTGGCGGCGGACGGGCTGTAGAGGGGCATAGTGGCATCGACGGGATTTCTAGAAAATAAAAAATGAATTCCAACGATAGTTATGTTTGATTTTTAGAATCACAATGACAATAAAGAGTTGGCGGCGGACAGGCTGTAGAGGGGCATAGTGGCATCGTTTGATGGGACTTCTAAAAATTATAAAAAATTAAACTGCAAGTCCAATTTTTAAAGGTTTGGAACTTCTAAAAAGTAAAAAAAACAAATGATAATCATATTTGATTTTAAAATCTCAATGACAATAAAGAAGGGAGGCAGCGGGCGAGCTGTAAAGGAGTACAATGGCAAAGCCACTGACGGTTTGGCGGGACTTCTAGAAAGTAAAAATGAACCCAAACGATAATTATGTTCGATTTTTAAAATCTCAATGACAACAAAGAGAAGAGACATCTAGAAATTACAATGGCAACGTTTAACGGGACATCTAGAAATTATAAAAATAAAATCCAACGTGACAATAAACTCTAAAAATTATAAAATCCAATTTTTAAAGATTCCGAGAAGAATGAATAGAAATAGTGGTAGATTGAGCAAGCAAATAAAGAAGGAGATAACATAAGGGGTAGCAACTGGTGTGACTTTTGAAAACTATATAATTAGAAACACGAGGATGATAAGGTTTGGTCTTAGCAACTGGTGTGACTTTTGAAAACTATATAATTAGAAACACGAGTATGATAAGGTTTGGTCTTTTAAAATCTTAAGACGATGAGATAGCTAGATAGCTATTTAATAAATTTTAAGTAAAATCATACTAAAAAATATATGATTTTGTTTGGGTGCTAGCCGCGCAATTGCACGCGCCACCCAACTAGTTACAATACAAATAAGCTCCAATTAAATGTTGCACAGATACTCCTTTATTTTTCTGTAAACATTAAATCAGACGGGCCAACAATGTCAGAGGAAAGGGAGTGGAGTAGGAATCTTGGTGATCATAATTTCACAGGCTCTTATTTCTCTCTTTCCTTGACTCTCTCTCCCGGTCTCCTCTCTCTCCCCCACACGGCTTCACCGGCGACGCGAGCTCGGCTCCGGCGACTCGAGCTTGACTCTGGCGGCAGTGGCGGGCGGCGTGGCCTTGCGATTTGGCGGCGGGTGCAGGCTGGTTTGATCGTCGGCGTCAGCGCGGGCTCGATTTCAACTGTGCAAGCTCGAGATCGCCGGTGTAGTGGGCTCCACATCGGCCGCGCGCGGGCGCGAGCTTGGACTTCGGCGGCACTGCTAACGTACAGTTCCTAACTCCTAAGATCAATTTGTTGCTCTCTCTTTAGTATGCCTGGTCAATTTTTCATTTTCCATGAATTTTGGGGTAATTCATTTTTTTTAAAAAAAAAAGAGAAAATTTGGGTAACTAGGGTGAGTTCAAATATAAAAAACATGATATGTTGACCTCTTATTCTAATTCACAATGTAAGTTAACTTTCCGTTATTGATTCCAGAGTTTCATACTAATTGTTGCAACAGTAGTGCTGCTGCCATTGAATTAGTTTGGTCTAAAACTAAATGTAGTTGCTCCTTTTGCAATTCCATTCACAGGGGTTAGGCAAGATACTTTGAAATATGAGTGGAATGGAAGCTGCTGTAGCATCTGGGCTGTTGAAGGTCGCAGGACACAAGTTAGTTTCACTGATAGGCAGCGAGTTTGCTGCCATAGCGCGCGTGGCCGAAGACCTATCTGAGCTCCATGGTATACATGGTGAAATTACTAGCTGGCTGTCCACAGTTCGTGATGGATCAATAGAGTGTGATCCACAGTTCCGTTGGGTGATTAAATTGAAGGATGTTGCTTATGATATTGATGATCTACTCCATGAAGTCCAACTAGAATATGAGAAACACAAGATACACAGCAATGGTGACAAGCATGCTATATTTGACACGTTACGTGAAAAACCAAAGTGATTTATGTTCCGTCGCAAGATGGCCCGTAAGATCAAGGATATCAAGGTGAAATATAATGAGATTGTGCGACAAAGAAGGGATGCCAATACTATACGCAGTAGTTTACAAGTGGATCAACCTATTCCTAGCAGTAACATGATAATCGGGGAGTTGTCCTTGTTGAGTAATGTTGAAGAATCAAAAATACCTATCAGGGACCAGGAGATGGATACAATTGTATCTATGCTTGTAGACTCTAATGAGGGAGAGAATTGTTGGATAGTTTCCGTTGTTGGGCTAGGCGGGTCCGGCAAAACTACTCTGGCCAAACACATTTGCCATGTCAACAAGATAAAGGAGCTATTTAAAGAGAGAATTTTCTGGGTCCATGTGTCTAGAGAGTTTGATGTGCAAAAGCTCATCGGCAAGCTATATGAAACTATCGTTGGCAGAAAGTCAGATTGTCAACCCCAACAGCAGATGGTCCGTGAAATTTCCAAGCAGTTATGTTGTAATAAGTTCCTTCTTGTTCTTGATGATGCTTGGCATACGGATGGGTATGAGTGGGGACAATTCATGGTGCATCTACAGGATAGGTCAATTGGAAGTAGGATTTTGCTAACTACTCGTGATCGAAAGGTTGCAGAAGTAGTCAAATCCAAACAAATACATGAGTTGGTGTTCTTAACAGAGTCTGAGAGTTGGAGCTTGTTCCTAAAGTGTTCTGGGTGGGTGGAGGATGATTTGGGATCAGAATTTATACAGCTTGGAAAAGAGATTCTGAAGAAATGTGGTGGGGTACCTCTAGCAATCAGAACTATTGCAGGTGTCCTCTGTGAAAAGAGGGAGATAAGTACTTGGAGAGCCATAAGAGGGAGTGACTTATGGAACGTTGGGAGTGTAAACGACAGGGTGTTTGCATCCTTAAAGTTGAGCTACATTCACCTGGCAGATAAACTAAAGCAGTGCTTTACATTCTGCTCCATATTTCCAAAAGGCTATGTGATCAATAAAGACAGATTGGTTGCACAATGGATAGCCCATGGATTCATCACGCCGATGAAGGAAGAGCAGCCAAAAGATATTGCAAGTGAATATTTTGATTCTCTTGTGAAAGCTGGCTTCTTTCTTCAAGATACGATTGAAGAGTTTGGTTACTTGCACAAGATGCATGACCTGATTCACGATCTTGCTCAATATTGTGAAAAGAATGAAGTGGTGACATCTCGACCGAACAGTATGTCTACATATCAGACACACAAATGCAGATATTTATCTTTGACATCAGGAAATGAGAAGGTCAAGAGGGGCTTACTTGACAAGGTTCATGCTTTATATATGTCTGATGGCAACCTATCATTCGATAAACCAGTTAAGAAGAGTTGCTATATCCGCAGTGTAATTTTGGACAATGAAAACTGTACCACTTTTCCACCAGTCTTGTTGAAGTTTGAATTTCTTGGATATCTTGAAATCCATGGAGTTGATTGCAAGAAACTTCCTGAAGCAATCTCCGGCTGTTGGAACTTGCAGTCACTTCATTTTATTCGGTGCAGCGGATTTGTGATGTTACCTGAGTCTGTTGGCAAACTTAAGAAGCTAAGAACTTTAGAGCTAAATTATGTTATTGATCTTGAGAGTTTGCCGCAGTCCATTGGTGATTGTCAAGGTCTTCAATCCTTGCAACTACATAGCTGTAACAAACTTCAAGGCATGCCGACTTCGATAGGCAGAATTGAGAACCTAAGGGTGCTTCATATTACGTCGTGTCCATGTATGCAAAAACTACCGTCAGAGCCCTGTGGGGAGTCCAACAACCTGGAGATAATCAACTTATCTAATTGCCACAACTTCCATGGCCTGCCAAGCACATTTGCCTGCAAAGCATTGCGTACTCTTAATCTTTACAATACCAAGATTACCATGTTACCTCAATGGGTAACTTCAATCGATACTCTAGAATGTCTAGACCTTGGATATTGCCACGAGCTCATGGAATTTCCTAAAGGTATAGCAAACTTGAGAAGGCTTGCAGTTTTGAACTTAGAGGGTTGCAGTAAACTACGTTGCATGCCATCAGGTTTCAGACAACTGACTCGTTTAACAAAGATGGGTTTGTTTGTTGTTGGATGTGATGGTGATAATGCAAGGATCTCAGAGCTTGAAACCCTTGATATGATAAGTGGTAAGATGAAAATTATCAACCTTAAATATACGCTGGATCCAACTGATGCAGATAAGGCCAGCTTGAAGAGGAAGAACAACATAAAGTATCTGGAGTTGGACTGGTCTCGAGGTGAAACTGAAAAGGAGTTAGTAACAGATATGGTCATGGAGCAAGACCTGGCTGTGCTGAACGCTCTTGAACCACCATCCCGAATTGAGGAAATATTAATATATTATTATGGAGGTCCCTGTTTGCCATGGTGGATGAAGAAGCAAACTGATTCTTCTTGCTGGGAAAGCACAATGTTAAAGCAAACCAATCCATGTCAGCTTATTTATCTAACTAGAATGACACTACATGAAATTCCAAACTTGAAGCATATGCAAGGACTTGTTGAGTTGCCTTTGCTGAATTACCTTGAACTATTTGGATTGCCTAATTTGGAGGACATGTGGACCACGACAGGAGGTGCAGAAATCAGGGGTGATGAATTGCAGGCAAAATACTGTTTCCCTGCCCTGTCCACCTTATGGATAAGGGGCTGTCCGAGATTGAATGTGGTGCCCTACTTCCCATCATCTTTGGAGAGACTTTTTTTAAGAGAAAGCAATGATCAGCTGCTATCTTCAGGCAGCTTCTCCCATCTCCTTCCTCCACTTGCCCATGAATCTTCTCCTTGCAGCAATGCGCACTCAGCGGTGCCCCGACTGAAGGAACTAACTATAATTAAAATGACAGGATCATCGTGTGGTTGGGATTTCCTGCAGTACCTTGATGCACTAGAGTACTTCAATATTTTTGGCAGCAATGACCTAACACAATTACCTGAGAGCATGCGAAGCCTCACCTCCCTCCACAAGCTAATCATCCACGACTGTCCCACCTTTGGCATGCTGCCAGAATGGCTTGGAGAACTGTGTTCTTTACAGTCCCTGTTTATCAAGGGGACCCCAATGATGGACAGTCTCCCTCAATCGATTGGCTGCCTTACGTCCCTCACGCACTTGACTATTGCATGCGATAATTTGAAACAGCTGCCTGAGACGTTTCACCACCTCACCTCCCTTCGAGAACTCGACTTGGCAGGATGTGGTGCCCTGACTGCACTGCCAGAAAACATCGGGAAACTCTCTGCACTTGAAGCACTATATGTCGGACCGTGCTCTGCCATTCAATGCCTGCCCGAGTCCATAAAACACCTTACTAATCTCCGGCGATTGAACATTTCTGGTTGCCCTAATTTGGTCAAGCGTTGCGAGCAAGAAGTGGGGGAAGACTGGCAGCTTGTCTCTCATATTCCTAATTTAATAAGTGACTAAGGCTCTGAGGGCAGCATCCGACCCTTGGTACGTTCTGGAGTACCTGTCACTGATTTGCTACATCAGCTTGTGTTTGCTAATGTTCTAAGGTCCCTGCTTTATTTTTATGTATGAGTATTGAGTTTACAGTAGTCTCTTATACTGGTACTAAAAGCACTTGTATGCTTCGTATTTCAAGTTTCAACACAGTCTTGCCTGCCTCTCTTCCCTAGAGTGTGGTTCTACTTGTTCCTCCCAATATAACATGTCCTCTACAATCGCACTCCTGTTTTCTTCTCGTAATGATAGATTTCATGCCGATGCTAATAAACTACGCTTCTTGCGTACAGGTTTTCAGATTGGAGAAAGTGATAAGAAGGATTGGACTGTCGAAGACTGTCTGCTGAGTACATTTCTTCTTCTGCTGGACCATTCAGAAAATGCTTCCGTGCTTCTTTTGTACTGTATGCTGATCATCTTAGATCTATACCGTTTAAAGAGTGTGGAGACTACAACTTTACTCTGGATCTCGTCTTTTGTACTTCTGTATATTGGTCATCTTACTCTGCTAGAGTCTGGTCTCACTACACGCGTTTGGTTAGCATGTGACATGTTTTTGCTACTTACTCTTGTGGTTTCTGTGAGGAGTCACATTTGATCGATCAATTACTCTTGAGCTTCCTGGAAGCGGTGGTGATCAAGCTTCTTTTCCTGACTAAGCGATATCCTAAACTGTACAAGGGAAGGATATATATATTTGTAGTCTGCTTTACTGCCATTTCATGTTTTGCTAAATTGTCAATTCCTTATCCTCAGATTCATCGTAAAAAAGTATGTTTTGAAATCATGGAAAAAAGTCTAATCCATAAAAGTTGGTGATTGCATGGCCCTTTCTTTATGTATCATTTTAGGATGCAGGCCGTGGCACCTTCGTAGGTCACTACAGTAGTTCATTTGAATTCCTAAAAGCTTATGAAAACATTCAGCTAGTTCAAGTGTGTGTTCACTCCTATAAACATTGATAAGGACAGAATGAAAAGGTTTTACTCCTATTAACATTGAGAAGATAACTGGACAAAATGCAATCTGAAAACCGCATATAAGCAGGCAAGATGTTCTATGAAGAATCCTCATATCGTCCTTGGCCGATTGAACCGGAAACGAAACCATGCCAATTCTATCACGCAAACTCGGGTAGAAAATATTAAATCCATTAAATTCTTCTTGCTTGACTTGAATAGATTCCTTGACCACCTTACACGGGAGCTTGGCCCCAACAAGGCCAAATAGCAAACTAACCAAATCTTATCTTTAACTTCTTGTCTTTTAACTTAAAACATATCTATCTCTTATCCATAGCAGCATATCTCCTAATTAAATAAAAGCAACCAGCCATTGCGGCCGGTGCTACAGTAACCCTGCAGATAATTAGCACAAAGTACGCCTAGATAAAATTCATTAATCCCAAATTGAACAGGAGAATATTATTCATTAATCCCAAATTGAACAGGAGAGCAAGCATGGTACGCATGGCAATAGAAAGAAGGGTAGAACGGCGGCGATAATATTGGACAAAGCAAAACATTATGCTACTTACTGTAAGGACTGAACTTTCTGAAGTTCTGAATTAACTAAGAGCAAACACCATATCAACTCGTAACAGGACAAGAAGGCAACAGATCAAGGAAACTAAATTGGAGGAATCGAAACACCAGTGCCAAATTAAGAAGTTTTGCTTGTATTATATCATGTCCGAACATGTAAGATTGGGCTGAATGCCAGTTCTAAACATAACTGAAACAGAAAAGATGCTATTTCTTTCGACACTGTACAGAAGTTAACCCCTATGTTTTTTTTCTACAAGGACTAGAGGGCTACGAACTTGTTTCACTGAAACTGCTGGCTTTGTACACGGAGCACCTACTATCAGCTGAACAAATAGAACCAAGGTATAGAATTGTTACATGGCTGGATTTAAGATCTGGACAGCACAATCAGACATCTGGAATCTATAGCGACAAAGCATATGCAAATAACCCATCTATCTAAACTGATCTTCATGCACAATTGATTTGGTTGAGCAAACTGTTGCACATATCATGTATGTGGAGGCCTCGGCAACATAGAGTTAGCCAGTTCTTCATTCAACTTTACAGGAAGGGGTGGCATCTGCCTCATTATCTCAGGAACATCGCCTATCCTGCTATAAAATTGAAGAAATTGTTGTTACATAATTGCAGTTTCACAGGACAAGTGATGAAACAACAGCAACTAACTTAATCAATAAATAACATCTGTATTTCAAGATCACATGGAAGAAAGTGTTCGGTTATTAAAATGTAGCAGAAAAGCATTGATATAACAAGGAGGGGACTAAAATGACATTGCAACTTATTGATATAGAATTTAGGCCAGTTAGAAACTTAGATTCCAAAGTAAGGGGACTACTTGGGGTACAATCTGAAGTGGAGAAGAAATGAATTTACTTTAGAAGACTCAGGAATGAGAGAAAAAAAAAACATAAGAGCCAGATAAACAATCATGGGAAGACAAATCTGGTACTCAAATCCCGAGTTATTCAAGATTGTACAAAAAGCAAAGTAGAGAATCTTACTCCTTCAGGACTGCAAGTATATTATCCCTAGTTTGACATAAAAGAGGGATGTTCTCCTGCACCTACAATAAATGCAATCATTATTAGAATATTGACAGCATAGCAAATATCAGGTGAATGTGACAGGTATCAGTCATACCTTTGTGAAACAAAACAATCATACAAATTTCGGAAGAAAAATATTTGGAATACATTCTTTTAATATAGCATACATTCAAATGGCTGCTCCTTTCCCCAACGTACAAGTATATAACCATCATGAAATGGGTACTAATAAAGTAAAACACCTACAGTTCAATGGAAATTGCATTATGGGTTTCCTGGACCCGTGGTTCTATTACCAAGTGAAATTCTTCTAGAACCTTGCAATTATTGATAGAATGCTTGTCCATGCGTGATTTACGGGCAACTTAAGAAACTAATTGCAACACTACATCTTCAGCGACAATGCATAAGAAACTAATTGCAACACTATATCTTCAGCGACAATGCAATGTAAACCACAGCCAATGTAGATCATAATAGCCAAAATATTATTCATATAATCTTATCATGCTGGGGCTGAGTGCTGAAAAAATAACAGAGAAGATAGAACTAGAAGTACCTGCATGTTTGAAATATTGGTATAGATCTGGTTCAAGATCTGTGCATTGTGCTCAAGAATTTGACCAGTTTGGCCTCCAATTGCTGCAATGACATGGAAAGCACTGATCAAATATAATATCTTAATTCAACGCTTAAAATCTCAACATAGTGATAATTGTTATATTAATGAAGATGCTTCTAAAGTTACAGCATGCAACTTCCTATTCCTATTATATTTAAAAGTAAATAGTACTCTACTACTGGATCACAAACAGGATAACATCATACAGTATAAATATTTGCAAGCATCATGTTCTACTATTTACTCTATTTTAAATTTTCATACATGCTCTGGAAAACTTCAGGTTTGGACAAATTACAAATAAGTTCAATAATATATATTTTACATAATAAAGCAGCATCAACAAGGTCGAAGAGAAAAAAATAAAGAAGGAACAAAGGATTAAATAGCCACATGCCTGGAACCATAATATCAAGAAAAAATAAAAGCAAACAAATGAGACAAGAAAGTACAAAATATGAGTGCTAGTACTAACAAAACACTTACTTTTGTATGACACATCATCATCATCCATGGGAAGAACTGGAAGAGAATATGGAGCAGCATTAGGTCGGGCCACTAGGTGAGCTGGCCCTTTTGATGAAGAATCATTGGCTCTCTCCTACAGGTTAGTAAAAAAATATACATTTTAATCATGCAAGAAATTTAAAAACAATGATGCTTCTTTTAAAACATCTATTCATTTTTACATATTTACATCCAAACACCTATGCATTTTTACATATGTGAAACACTGACTTTGCATGTGCCACCTTCTAGGTTGCTAAAACACTTAAAAGCTAGTAATCTGCCTTTTAAAACTTCACTAGAAAGAAAGAATGTCGGTTACCGCTTTCATGAAATCAATAGCTTGCCAAATCAGGAACAATAATAGTGATAAAATAGGGAATCAGTAGACAAGTGAGCCAGATGGTAACCTTCTTTTCTTTGTTTTTCTTAGATGACTCTTCCTTCCTTTTCTTGTTACTCTCCTTTTTCTGCAAGAGATGAAAAAGTTGATGAGATTATATAACAATATTTGTTAGGCAGAAGAACTATAGTGCATGTAATATGAAACATCAGAATGTTTGAAAACAAAATTCACTAGACATAACTATCTGTTGATGGCAATACTGGTCAGTTTGCATGGTTATTACAAGCCTACAACTTCAGTTAATTTTTATAATAAAAAACAACTATGATGCATGACTTGGAAGGATTCATTTCTGAAAGCCGACTGATTTTGAAACAGATGATGTGATTTTGGCATTGATGTAGTGTGGATGTAGATTTAATCGTATTCACTAGTGAAGAAGATAAAAGATGATGATCATGATCATGATCATGATATAATAATAATAAGAACAGTAATCATGATGAAAGTTGTAGGTGGTGCTCAATATGGTATTAGTAATGGAGATGCTAGAACCTAGCATCTATGTTAGATTCACTATATAAACCTGATACTCCCTCCGTCCCAAAATATAATAACTTTTAGCTCTCAAGGTTTATCCCAAAATATAACAACTTCTTGACCAACATTCTCTTCTCAACCAATCACAACCCTCCACCATTCAATTTTCTCACCTACCTCCACTTCTCAACCAATCACAACCTTCTCCCATTTAATTCTACCTACTTTCTTAATACCTGTGTCCAACCCTAAAAATCCTTATATTCTGGGACGGAGGGAGTAATTGCACAAGGAACTAGTAACAGGCCATCCGGAAACCATTGGCTAAGCATAGCAAAAAACAAAGTGAAATTACTTGATTGATTTAAACAATTAAGCAACTAATAAACATAATGAGAATGATAAAATAATAATATGAGGTACTGAATTATCTCAAATTGGTTGATTGGCATGGGATGCTTGATAAACATAAAAGAACGATGTATTATAGAATTTTTGGGTGGGAAATTCGGATGCGCTAGATATATTACTTAATAAGACAAGCTGAAGCAGTGAAACATAAACCCATCTGTCAATTATCATAACCACAACTTTCCTGTATAGAACGAGCTAAAGCAAAATAAAGAGCAAACAAATATAGAAGTACAGCAGGTGATCAGAATCCAACTTACAGCCATCCATCTGCAACGCAGGGCCACATCTCGCACTGTCTTGTCAGGCAGATTCATAGCAATTTTTGCATAGCGAACTACAGCTGCATCCGCCGCATAGCTACAATAGGTGTAGTCAGAAAGTAAGATTGATTAACTTAATTGTTGCTACATATAAGTGCAGGACATTGGAGGATTTGAGCTAGCTTAAATGAGGACAAAACAAAAATAGTACAATTCAAGAATTCAGATTCCGTACAACAATTGTGGTAATGATGGGGACATTAACCAAGTGCATGAGGCCACTACATTTATTGCCAGAACAACAAAGAACAGATAGTGTTACATACACACTACGAACCAGAACAAGGTGGCTGCACAATATCCCACGGTCCGTCAGTCCCACCCGAAACGGATAGACTGGTGTTATGTGAAACTAAATTTAAGTTTACCCTGGTGTAAAGTAGAAATTTATGCTTAAGTCAGTGCATTGTGAAACGTAAGTCAATCTAAACGGTGCAAGTTCTCAAAAAAAAACAAAAATCTAACGAGTGCAAACTGTAATTTACTCTATTAAATACAAGCCTCCACCACTGCACTGAGTAATAAAACGACAACTGAAATCCTACTACAGGCCATTTAAGAATTCATCTAGCAAGGAAACCCTAACAAACAACATGATAAATGCATGCCTACATTTTGCAGAAAATGTGCGTGTTCCACAAGTCATGGTACTAATTTCCATTTGGGCTTCCAAATTACCAACCAAACTCCAACGCCATAACCGATGGCAGTTATCCGTTTCTATACAAGCACTTGAGCATTACCATTTCCTTGTCCTGTTCGCAAGTCATGCAGCAACTGGCATGACCTGAGCCCTAACAGTAACATCGCCATTGCAACTACGACAAAAGGAATTTCATCCTAGATAGATTATATGACAGCAGCTACAACTGCGAAATTATACTCTTATCATAAAGGACAGAAAACCTTCTATAACCACTTGCTCATGAATGACAACAAAAAACCTTGCAGATATTGAATAGAAGATGGGGAAAAATAACCTAGCCAAGCATAACTACTCCCCATAAGGAAGCATGCAAACATTCCTACCCAAGGATAACTTGCTATCATTCACTAGTAAAGGAAACAAGTAAATATTCCATCCTAGACGGGAAAGTGGAGAAACTATAGCAAACATGTAGTAAAATAATTCCATTCTAGATGAGCAGTGGTAGATTAGAAAATAATCACTAAAACCACCATACCCACGATCCAAGAACTCCCCAAGATCGATGCCATCTACAACGCTCTTCCACCTCCTAACCAGACTATCAATCAAAAGTAGTAGAAAGAACGGACTATTCCAGAGAATCCTCCTTCTACGAGTTATTAGACGAAGGGAAGAGAAACCCTAGAAAACTCACCTGGCCAGCCCTCCTTCGAGCACGGCCTGCTCCTCGGGCGTCCACCGGACGGAGAGCCCCGGGTCGTGGCGCAGCGCCGCCGCGGTGCTCGCGCCCGGCGGCTGGGCCAGCGCCGGCGCGGGGGAAGGGTTGCGGTGGTGGGGCCCGCCCAGAAGCACCCCCGTGGGGTCGGCGTTCGCCCCCATCTCGCCGCCTGCCACCGCCGCCGCCAACTCGGCAACCCCCCCTCAGGCCAGGGGACGACGGTCCCGCCCAAACCCGAGGGAATCTCGCGAAGGCGCGCAGGGATTCCGCGGAATCAGAGCTCTGCGCGGCCGGGCGGCGGCGTCGGCGGCGGCGAGGGTTTGGATTCTCCGGTGGCGCGGCCGGCGGCGAGTCGGGGGACGGGGAGCGAGGAAGGGAGAAGGGAAACGAATGAATTTTGGGCTTTTTATTTTGTGGGGGGTAGATGGATGGATGGCCTGGATTGGAACTCACTGTGAGTAACTGCCTTCAATCATGAAAAAACGGTAAGTTCCTGCCTTCCTGCTTCAGTTGAGTCTTCCTTTCACTTTTTTTTTTTGCTAGGGTAAATATGAATTGAAGGCTTCCACTTTTATTTTTCCGCGTATATTTTTTAAGCGTATGTCTCCATTATATGATATATACGCGTTCCGGTTTATATATAGATCGAGAGTTAGAACACTTGTACTACTTGCCTCATCTATAGACGTGTGTCTGATTAGGTAGGTTGATATATAGACGCGTGTTTGACTAGGTACGTTGGTACGGAGATGTGTGTCCGACTAGATACACATGATACATGACCCCACCTCATCATGGGGTCGACGTTCGCCTCCATCTCGTTGTCTGATATCATTGTCGTCCCTGGGAGACGACGGTCCTATCGAGTCTTACCTAAATCACTCAGAGAGGCGGACGAATTCTACTTGTATGATAGTCAAATCAGAGCTTCACGCACCCTTGGCGGTGGAGACAATGAGCGTTTTTAGACTATCCGAAGGTGGACGATGGCGAACGGGGGACAAGAAGTGAGAAGGAAGCGTGAGATGAATATGTGCTTTTTTGGGGGTCTTGGGGTTAGATGGATGGCTAGAGCTCACTGCCTCCAATCATGCAAATGATTATATGTGAATTTCTCGTTTAGTCGCATCTCCATTTCGTTTGGGTAAAGGGGTAATGTGAATATGAAGGTTTACGTCCGTGTTTCTGTATATATTTTATGTTTCCGTTATACGTTGCATCCCACTCTAATAGGTTAATATATAGACGTGTGTTTGACTAGGTAAGTGTTACATCTAATATTTGTCTGATTAGATGCACATGAAGTATGATATGCGGCGGCGGCGGCGGATCCGGAAACGGAGGACTTGGTGGCCGCGGATCCAGCGTGGGGGATCTCCGGATCTACCATGGCATCTCCGGTGATAATGACGATAACGATGGGAGGGGCGGAGCCAGCACCAGTCCCTCTCCCGTGCACATCCCGCAGCCCCTCCACCTACAACGACATGATGGTTGCAAGCGACTACGACGACGAGGATGGTGTTGGAGGCTTCGAGCGACGATGACGGCGACAAAGAAGGCTGTCGGTGGCGGCTGTGAGCTTCTACTGTTAGGGTTTCTTGTTTTTTTTCGATTTTCTCTTTTCGCAGTCGAACGAATTAAGCATTGGCATGCATAAATCCGATTTTTCGCATGGTTGCCCTAGCTGCATGCAAAAATCCGATTTTCACATACTTTTTCGTGCATGTGGCAAGAGCAACCGCATGCAAAAATCAGTTTTGACCGTATGCCAAAATCGATTTTGTAGCAGTGATAGGATGTGTTCTAACTTCTAATCTGGAGTTAGGTTGGGCTATCGTTTATCGTGAACATGTTTCCTAAACTGAAAATGATAAGTTTCGTGAAAAAAAACTTATAAAAGATTCTTAAAGAATCAATAAATCCATTTTCTAATTTTATAACAATTATTACGTAATTAATGAATCGTGTGCTAGTGGCTTGTTTAGTTTCCGCGGTACTCCCTTCTTTTTCATATTATATTGACTTTTTTTCTAGTAGTTTGACTAAATTTATAGAAAAATATAGCAATATTTTTAACACAAAACAAACATATTACCAAAAGATATAGAATGTTAGATTTAATGAAACCAAATTGGTGTCGCAGATATTGCTAAATTTTAATAAATTTAATTAAATTTAAATAAGTTTAACTAATGAAAGATTAAATCCTTTTATAACATGAAACAAAGGGAGTGCTACATAACTAAATAGAACTGCTATATCAAACTTAGTGCTATATAGTGTTATATAGTTGCCTTATCAGCGATTAGCGGTTACACAGATGGGTGAAAAGAGCTTAATATGCTGTCAATCATGGAATTGTTTATTTATTTATTTCGGTAAGGTTCTATCAGTTTCATTTCTCCTTTCCTTTTTCTTTCCGAGGATAGGGAAATTGTCATGTGAAACTGCAATTTTAGCTTCTATTATTATTATTATTATTATTATTATTATTATTATTATCTTTTGACCAGATAGTATATATTATTAATTATTGGATGGCGTGTGCATGTATATACATATGTTGTGATCGTAGAGACATGTGTCTATGTAGGTATACGAGGTGCAAAACGAAAAACGATGCATAATTAAGGTGTATAGGCAAGAAGCGTACTTGATGCATATCTAATTGTTTGTGTTATTTAGTGTGGGTAAAATGCCTACCGTACGTGGTTCTCCAGCACAATCCAAATGTTTAAAATTGGTAAGTGCTCTAAATTGGAATAGAAAAGGAAACGGTGAACTTTATCATACGTTTCCAAGTATTTCAATTAAACTTGGTGCTATTATAACTTATAATAAATCTTGCTAGCTCCTTGATGCGAAAAAACTCAATTTTTTAAAGAATACACTCTCTAAATATGGTCATTTCCTATTAAATCTGGATATATGGGAAGTGCCAAACAGCAAATAGATGTATATTTTGAAAAAAAAATGTTTCTTCACTCGAAGGTATCCATTTGGCTATGTCCTCATATAACTATGTACGGATCAAAATATATTCTCATAAAATCTATTGGCTATTGCCTCCCACATGGCGCTACCATATTTAGTCCGGGTATTTCAACTCCCGGATTCACGGTCCTAGTTGCATACCCGGGAATAAAGGGGTTGCTAACCGGGAGTGTAGATGTATTCTCCCGCAGTGTGATATGCCCCAAAGACAATTATAGAAATTATAATACTATATTTATGTATTTATAATAAAGTGTTCCTTAATATAGATAACTTACTATTGATCAATGAGTATGACTTATTCATAATACTTCTTATGTATGTTACTATTTCTAAATAATTTCTAACTAAATGTCATAAAGTAAATTGCACCTAACCCCACCTATTATATCTAAATTGCACAAAACCACAGGGGTTTTGTTTGGTACGTGGCACATAACCACATATATTATAGCCATAAAGTTCTACAAAACCATACTATTGATGTTTTTGACTTTCATCTAGTTCTATAATCATATTTCAAATTTATGGTTCTTTATCCATCATATAAATAAAGTGAATATATATCACATCCATATGAGTACAGTTTTTTCAAAATTTGACACATGAGTATGTTAAATTGGTTAACGATGTAGTTTTGTGAAATTTATTACTATAATACATGTGGTTATGTGTGACGTGATAAAATCCTTACGATTTTACGTAACTTGGACCATAATAGGTGAGGTTTTTATGAAATTTACTGTTGATTGTTCCTCTTATTAAAATAATCTATGTAAGTATTATGTACAGTATTATAACTTGTTTTGTCAGTTAGGGCATTTTGAGTTATAGTTCTGTATATTTGCACTAATTTTTTTTATTATAATGAATGGTCAAATGTCATGTCCAAAAGTCATCAGTGCCATAAAATTTAAAACAAAAGGAATATATGTGTGTGCGTGTGTGTTTTAGCATTACAACACATTTTGGGTCAGATGATAGAAAGTAAACGGTATGGAAAGTCCATGATGAATACTGTTCGGTTTTAAAGTATACGGATGATTTTTAAACGTTCGTGAAAATTCAGGATGTAAAGTAGACTTTTCGCACATACAAACTGTTGGCAGTTGGTCTGGCTGTTTTGCATTTCAGTATTGCCAATTTGCAGTCATTTTCGGACCTGTTATTATTTGCTATTTCTAACCTTGTCAAATTTTTACAATAGTGAAAATTGGCCATGTCAATTTAATTTTTTTTATAAAGATCAACTAGGGTTTTGTTTTACTACTGATATTTTATTATAAAATAAATTAATCATCAATGTATAATATTGAAATCCGTATAAAAAAACTTGGACATTTATATTTTTATATTTTAATTGGAGGCCAAATGGTATAAATGCTAAAAAAAATGTTAACCATGACTTTTTTTCACACTCTGTCCAAAGTTTAATTTTAAGGTTTACAGCCTCAGCATAGCATGACCATTAATTGCTCTGATGAGATTTTTCTCAGGTAGCATAGTAACAAGCTCGGAATAATACATCCTCTTGCCAATTCCCCGAGTAATGTTTCAACGGCAATTTCCAACCACACTTTTTTATCGCCATATGTATTAGAGTTTTTGCCAACAAAAATTAGTACAGGTTCTTATACTTTATTAAATATTTTTTCTGCCCTGGCGTTGAACTGTGATCACATGATCATTGAAAAGACCTTCAGCCAAACTATCATCAAGTTGCTCCCTGTCCTCTGGATCAAAATAGTTCAATAATCAATACCAATTACCAAAGGTGCATGCATTGTTGCTGGAAACAACATAGAAAAAACAGCCAAACATTTTAATATTGTTCTAACCAAGATTTGCCGGTGCGTATGCATGCATCAAACTATATGAACATCAGTAGTCCAGATGAGGTGCCTAAGCATCCTTTTGTTTTCAAATCCTCTCTCCTAAGTCAAAATGTTCAAATAATGCTAAAAAGGATAAATAGATTAGTTATAGTAGTAGTACACGAATGGGTTCTGGAAGAGATTCTCCACTCACTTATTTAATAGAGACTTGTTTGACCATCATGCATCAACCGGGTGCCTGTATATATGTTGCCATCGTGTTTGTTGACCTGGTTAGCCACCAAAAAGGCAGACGCGTTTAGGAAACGGTAAACAGAGATCGCACGTTAGTACACTGATACTAGAACCTGACATAATTTTCATAAATCAATTATGAAAAGATGAACAAAAGTGTAAATTCTAAATGATTTAAATTTGTCAAAATTTGCCTGAAATGCATGGGAAAAGAGATCCATTTCAGCTAGTGGCAAGAAGATTCTTCTCTTCTTTGCTCTGTCATCAGCAAACTTCAAAGAACTCATCTACAAGGATTAATTAGTCATTACCAACCACATGGATTTTAGTACGGAAGAATTTGTAGATTATTTATGCAGAGAGAGTGTCAAACCTGTTTAATTCTCAAATTTTTTTCCTAAAAATATCACATTAAATCTTTAGATATATGTATGGAGCATTAAATATAGATAAAAAGAAAAACTAATTGTACAGTTAGGGGGGAAATCGCGAGACTAATCTTTTAAGCCTAATTAGTCTATAATTAGCTATAAGTGCTACAGTAACTCATATATACTAATGACGGATTAATTAGGCTCAAAAGATTCGTCTCGCGGTTTCCATGCGAGTTATGAATTTTTTTTTATTCGTGTTCGAAAACCTTTTTCGACATCCAGTCAAACGTCCAAAATTTTTTATTTCACCAGCTAAACATGCCGTAACAAATGTGAATGCCTTTAGGGGAAAAAAGAAATGAAATTTCAGTGTTTTGGACTGGGTATACATCCAAAAGTGCAGGAAGAAAGCTCCTGTATTTCAGCATAGGCAAGCCACTGCTTCTTGCCTTCTTCCATCTCGGAAATTTCGTCCCTGCGCCTGCGCGAGAAAGCTTGGTACTTTTTCCAGGGAGGAGGAGGAGCTGCAGGAGAGGATCCCAAGAGAAACATTGGAAGAGAAAAAAGAAGCGCTTCTTTTGCGGTTCTGGCAGAAGAAGCAGGGAAGGGGATGGTGAAGAGGCGGCTGTTCTTGCTGCTGTTCTTGTGCTTGTTGGCTGGGTCAAGAATCGCTTCCGCTGACACCAATCCGCAAGATGGTAAAGCTTGTTTTTCCTGGTTCTTGCAGTTCTTGCATGCAGATTAGTTTGATGAGGGTTTTTGCTTGTATTCGATGTCCCATTCCGACGATTCACCGTGAAAAATAAAGGTTCAATTCCGGAGGTCAAGTTGTTTTTAGGGGGAATTTTTAGCGTCTTATAAGCATATTTGGATTGGGAATTCAGTTTTAGTAGCTTTTGGTGTTCAGAAATCTTGGGTTGTATTCCCTCAAAAGAAAAAAAAAATCTTGGGTTGTGATCTACTGTTCAATTTGTCTGGATTCTTTGGATTGGGTTTGGTGGAGATGGCCCCAAGAAAAGATGGTAGAGGGGAGAATTGCCTTCCTCTTCTTTTTTCCAAAGTTTCTTAGTTTCATATTTTTACAAAAACAAAAATAAAAATAAAGGAGTGGCCATTGACTCCCTTGCAATATGATATTGTTGGATATACGCATAGACATGATGCATCCCAATTTTTGCAGCCCCAGAATCAATGCTGATTGATTTTCTTTTACCAAATAGATTTTGTGGAGCTTTAATTCAGCAAGTAATAATAACTCACATTTCACTATGACTCTAATCTAGTTCTAATTTTAGCATCCGTGGCTTGGCCTAAAAGTTGGTTGACAAGTTGCTATCTCCCTCTTTCGCACTCGCAGCGGCTGCGCTAAGATCTTTGATGAAGAAATGGACAAAAAATGTGCCTGCTAGCTGGAGGAAGTCCAATGATCCTTGTGCGAGATGGGATGGAATTACATGTGATAGGAACTCAAGGGTTACATCACTGTGAGTAGAGTTTTTTTTTTTTTTCTGAACAACGCTATGAGTGGAGCTGATCCCATGATGTTAGTAGCTGTTCAACATCCTGAATTTGTTCTTTCTCACTCTATTGAATGCCGCAGAAATTTATTCGGTATGAACTTGGAAGGGACTCTAAGTGATGATATCGGAAACCTGACTGAACTGACGGTCTTGTAAGTTCTACTGCTACCTTGATTACGTAGCCTTCTTTTGTAGCTTGTAGTAGAGCTTTTGTAAGAATGTACATTCCAAACTAGGTTCAGTGTCATAAGATGCCTACGTCCTATGGTTTTTCATGACGACACTGAATCACCAAATGATGAACTCCATCGCAGGGATTTATCCTCAAACAGAGGTGTTGGTGGTACTCTCACACCGGCTATTGGGAAGTTGGCTAACCTTAGAATTTTGTAAGTTGCAACAGTTCTCCATAACAGACGAGGCGGCGCTCTTACTATGAAATATACAATCTTCTGTTTGACTGTTTGCATCTACAATCCATAATTACTACTTACCATCTGATGTGTAAGTTGAACTATTGTGCAGAGCATTGATAGGTTGCAGTTTCAGTGGTAATGTTCCAAGTGAACTAGGGAACCTGTCACAACTCGATTTCCTGTAAGATCATTTGGGCTATCATTTGATATTTGACTGTTAAGCTTTTTTGTTCATCTGAAAAGGTTTTCTGTTATTCAATCTCAACGTAGTTCTTTTATTTGTTTCTTGTCCATAGCGGCCTGAACTCCAACCAATTCACGGGCAAGATTCCGCCATCATTGGGCAAGCTGTCCAAGGTTACTTGGCTAGACCTTGCTGATAACCAGTTGACCGGACCAATCCCAAACTCCAGGGACCATGGATCTGGGTTTGATCAGCTACTTAAGGCCCAACACTTGTGAGTGTCATAAGTAGCACAAGTACATTATTGAGCATATTTGTTATCTGATCATCATTCATCCCTTGTTCCACCTTCCTTTTGCAGCCATCTCAACAAAAATAAGCTGCAAGGTTCGGTCCCGGATTTTTTGTTCAACTCCAGCATGGATCTCAAGCATATGTAAGTTCCAAAGTCCAGGTATTGTCATATTAACTCTATACTTTGGAATGCAATATATGTGAAAGATTTTCGTGTCCAGACTTTTTGACAGGAACAACTTTAATGGATCTATTCCAGCGTCTATTGGGGTACTTCCAAAACTTGAAGTACTGTAAGTGCATTAACAGAACTTTATTTAGAATTGCTTTTCAGATTTTGGGGGTTTGTGTATGATTTTCTCCGCTCACTCTCTGAAACAGCCGTTTAAATGACAATGCTTTCACGGGTCCGGTTCCTGCAATGAATAACCTGACGAAGCTCCATGTTCTGTAAGTTGTGATGCAAACCATTGCGAAAATCAAATTGAGCTGGCCACTGTTGCGTCATTTATAACATTTTTCTTTGGAAATATCCAGAATGCTGTCAAACAACAAGTTAAGTGGACTGATGCCTAACTTGACTGGAATGGATATGCTCGAAAATGTGTAAGAACTTAATGCAAACTTAATAGCGTATTTTCAAATGATAATTTTATCTGTCACTATGATTGACAGGTGATATGGCTTTATTTGTAGGGATCTAAGCAACAACAGCTTTATACCTTCTGAAGTTCCAAGTTGGTTCACAAGTTTAATCAAATTAATGACCCTGTGAGTTGTAATGTGATATGAAATAATGAATGCACCAATTATGCAGTTTTAGATCAGTACATAATAATACTCTTTCCTTTTCCTTGTTGCAGCAAAATGCAGTCAGTAGGTCTTTCTGGGCAACTGCCGCAGAAGCTTTTCAGCAACCCCAACCTGCAATATGTGTAAGACAATATAACAATTGTAGCACATATACCATTAGTAAATCTAAAATACTGACTTGTTGAACATACTCCAGAGTATTGAGTGACAATCAATTGAATGGTGTACTTGACATGGGCAATATCAGCGATGAACTTCATGTCGATGTACGGAACAACAAAATTATCTCACTTGCAGTGTACAACAGCTTCACAGGAGAAACCCTTGAGTGCGTATCGTGCTTCCTTCCTTTTAGTAAACAGAACTACATGTTTCTTCGACCAATAATTATGAAATGGATTCAAGGAACTTTGTTTTGATTATTTAAATATTCTAACATGTTCTGAAGATTTGCTACTTCTCTGTTGCCAGGCTTGCAGGAAACCCAGTCTGTGGTGATTCACTTCTGTCAAGCATGAAGCCATGCACAGACCTGACAACTGAACCTCTACACAAGCCTCCTTCCATTGATGTCCAGTGTGCAAATCCATTTGTCGAAACCATCGTTTTTAGAGCTCCTTCTTTTGGAGATGTTGTTAAGTTCCTTCCTTCGCTGCAAGCCAACCTCTCAAGCAAACTAAACAGCTGCACCCCGAACAACCTAGGCCTGGTGTACTCGAATGATGATGCATACCTGAACGTGGATATTAGAGCATGCCCAGTAAACCAGAAGAGATTTAACTACTCCCAGGTGCTAAACTGCTTCAATCTAACCCTTCAGACTTACAAGCCACCAGAGATCTTTGGACCTTACTACGTGAAGGCACACCCTTATCCATTCCATGATAAAAGTGAGTGGTTCATCCCTTCAGTGACTTTTATGTGCAACCAAATGAAGATAGGTTCTTATGTGCGGCTGTCGATGTTGCAGCTTCTCGAGCTGTGTTGATTGGTGTTGTGACTGGATCCCTTCTCCTCGTTATTGGGCTCACACTTGTTGGAGTTTACGCTGTGCGGCAAAAGAAGCGGGCTCAGAAACTTGTTTCTATCAATGATCCTTTTGGTAATTTGTTGCACCTCATGGTCTCATTACTGATTGTCATCATCTCATGTTGCTTTACCTCCTTTCTGATCTTTTTATGAACTTTTTCAGCATCATGGGGATCAATGGGACAAGATATTGGTGAAGCACCGAAAATCAAGAGTGCTAGATGCTTCACACTGGAAGATCTCAAGTTGAGCACAAATGATTTCCGAGAGATTAACGCAATTGGGGCAGGAGGATATGGAACGGTAATTAAGCAAGCCCATCAATTGATGAACTGGAAGTATAGCATTTTTTCTTTTGCTTCCCATCTTTAGAATAGCTCCATAATCGTATTTGCATCTGATAAAACAGGTGTACCGAGGAAAGCTTCCTGATGGACAACTGATAGCCATCAAGAGGTCTAAGCAAGGGTCCATGCAGGGTGGGCTTGAGTTCAAGACAGAAATCGAGCTCCTTTCTAGAGTCCATCACAAGAACTTGGTTGGTCTTGTTGGTTTCTGCTTTGAGAAGGGAGAAAGGATGCTTGTTTACGAGTTCATACCGAATGGAACGCTAAGTGAGGCCTTGTATGGTAAGATTTCCCATATGATCTTATCAAGTCAATGTACAAGATACATGCCTTGTTGCTTAACCGCTCACCGCTGAAGCCAGCTGCCATAACTGTTCTTCCACAATTTCTACTAATCACATAAGATTTTCTCCCTTATATCAAATGAATTGATCACAAAATTGGTCACTGTAGGTATAAAAGGAGTACAATTGGACTGGAGTAGGAGACTTAAGATAGCTCTGGATTCAGCTAGAGGGCTAGCGTACCTCCATGACCATGCCGATCCTCCAATCATTCACAGAGATGTGAAGTCCACCAACATCCTCTTGGATGAGAGGATGACCGCGAAGGTCGCAGATTTCGGTCTCTCCTTGTTGGTATCAGACAGTGAGGAAGGCCAGTTCTGCACCAACGTCAAGGGAACACTGGTAAGGCTGCATTTTGTGACATAGAGAAGCTTCTTTAGCAACCATTGCAACTCATATAATCTTGAGAACAATTTAGATAATTTGTTTTTTTAACGACTCGCACCAGATAGTGCGAAGTTCATATCGATATAGTAGGAAAAAAAATACAAGATTACAACCCTATCACTTTTTTTTACACACTTGCTATTGTTGCAGGGATACCTGGACCCGGAGTACTACATGACACAGCAGCTCACAGCGAAGAGCGATGTGTACAGCTTCGGGGTGGTTCTTCTAGAGCTCATAGTGGCGCAGCCACCCATACACAAGCAGAAGTACATCGTCCGGGAGGTGAAGACGGCACTGGACATGGGAGACCAAACGTACTGTGGCCTGAAGGATGTGATGGACCCGGTTCTTCAGAAAACAGGGGATCTCCGTGGTTTCGCAAGGTTCCTGAAGCTGGCATTGCAGTGTGTCGAAGATCTAGGAACCGACCGGCCATCGATGAACACCATAGTGAGGGAGATCGAGGTGATAATGCAGGACAACGGGATCAGAACCGGCATGTCATCGACGAGCTCTTCGTTCAGCATCGACTCGAGAACGATGATGGCCGCGCCAAAGTACCCATACTCCAACGCATCGACATCGTCGACGGCGTTTGATATGGATAGCAGGGCCTTTGAGTACAGTGGGAAGTTCCCTTCTGAAGGCAGCCTGAAGAACAGGGGCACGTAGGAGGGTATGGTCAGTCAGGTCAGAGGTGTACAGCGGATGAAAGGCCTGTTCAGAATAGCAGATTTTACGAAGTGTGAAAAGAGGATGGGGCTGCATATTTATAGGATATTTAAGGATCAAACTACACTGTACAGAGGTCATGAACTTTACAATTCTTTTGTCTTGTGAGAAAAGAAAGAGCAATTCTTTTTCTTCGAAATAGCGTATAAAAGTTAACCATGTAATTATGTAACTTACCTTTGCTCAATGATAAAATCATCAGAGTTGTTTGTATATTAACATTTGGAAGCATGAACCCCACAACAAATACCTGCAAAACTCATGTGAGCAGGGGGGCGCAACAGGGGAAATGGCTGCAAAACTCGGAACTTAATTAGGCACGTTTAACTATTGCATAATACTATATACCCTCAATTTCTAACTTGACAAAAAAAAAACTAGGTGAAAAGACGAGGAACGGATAGCATGGTTTTTGCTTAAACTCATCAGAAAAGGAGTCTAGCCGTGCTGAAGACCTGACGAAACTGAGTCCTAATGGGTTCGTTTGGTTTGTTGCCGAAAAAACTGGCAGTGCCAGTATGTTGGCAAGGCTATTCAAAAGCTTTCAATTAACTTTGTCAAAATTTTGGCATCAAACCGAAAAATCGACTTTGCCAAAATTTTGTCTATCAATTTTTTGGCTTGCCATTTTTCCTTTTTTGGGTATGGTTAGGAATCAATGTAATCCAAAGTTCCAAACAAGCCCTGAAGTCCCTGGACAAGAAAAATCACAGGCGAGCGAGTATAGTTCAAAAGCACGCATAGACTCCAGTTTGGGCTCCGCTCTTTTTGTCAAATCTATCACTGTCAATTTGAATGGAAGCAGTCAGTTTCATATCATTAGCGAGTTTCCGTAAACACGAGCACACAAAGGTACATATATATATATATATATATATATATATATCTTACAGCTCACATGGACGCCAGTGAGCAGCTGTTGTGTGTGTTGTATCGTCTGAACCCTGAGGATTACAGCGCCGCTGTCGCATGCGGCTTGCTAAAAAGAATTGTGTTACAACATCTGTGTGAAGAGGGCCTGTGGTATATCTGCGCGGCTATTCCGTCGCAGGGAATGGCCCTCGTCGCTTCGTAGAGAAGCAGGCTCCATCAGGGTTCCGCGGCGGGCTCTGCCGGCGCGACAACCGGCGGCACGGCGTCCACCTTGTACCGGAGGCTCTGTCGTGGAGGAAAGCATCGTTAGTAGTCTTGTAGATTGAACCACAACGGAGATGGGGCTACAACTTTCTATTCCATGTCACATCGGATGTGTAGACACTAATTTGGAGTATTAAATATAGACTAATTAAAAAACTAATTTCACAAATGAGAACTAATCCGCGAGACGAATTTTTTAAGCCTAATTAATCCATAATTAGCAAATATTTACTGTAGCATCACATAGGCTAATCATGGATTAATTAGGCTCAATAGATTCGTCACGCGAATTAGTCCAAGGTTATGAAATGGGCTTTGTAATTAATCTATGTTTAATACTCTAAATTAGTGTCCAAACATCCGATGCGACAGGGACTAAATTTTAGTCCCTAGTTCCCAAACACCCCCTAAAGAAAATAGGAAATGGCTTTTAAGACATTGAGTCATTTGGAGCCATCCTTGAAAATTTGCGTGCATCATACCTTTTTGAAGAATGACGAATATGAGTTGTCCCAAACAAGCTTGTATGATCCGGCAGAGACAGTGCAGAAGTTACCCTGTGTAGGACAAACCAAAGCTGAAGCATTCAAAACTAACACAAATGAAATGCATTCACATCATAGCCTCTTAAAACTGAGCCTAATTCAGAGATAATACTGTTATATTATTTCCAAACCCATTCTTCTAACTCGCTCGCTACAACCTGGATCTATCGATTGGACAAACAGAGCTATAAATGGAATCCAAGAATATGGTATTTTAATTTAAAGAGAGCATAAGCATGAAACTGCACTCACTTGGTCAGCTTCATATCGTCGGTAGGGAAGTATTAACTGCAAAACATACAGTTCTTGTTACAAAAAAGTAGAAACAAAATAAACAACAATACTCCAGTGTTATAAATATATTTTATTAAACAAAACAATGTGGAGAAATGTCATACCATTAACTACAAGTACCTAATTAGGACAAACGCGTAAAACCACAGGCAACCCTAACTATATTTCTTTCTAGGTATACAGAAAATGTTTTTTTTTTAAAAAAGAATGTTCATCTATAGGTGATTTTGGGTGGAATAATAAAGGGAAACCCTAAGTTTCCCAGATTGTGTACATATTGATATCGTGCACACCTTACAAATTAAGCCCCCTATGCATTATTTTTTTTATTAGTCAAAAAAAGTTGACACCAAATAGAGAAACAAGGACAAGGCTAAAGCAGATACAAGATAAGGCCTCTTGGGAAAGTCAGAAATTGATATTTATTGCTGTTAGGAAAAATACCACCACAGCCTGTCCCAGTGAACCAACCAATTCCAGACAATTTTTGGCTGACATGGTTGTCTACTTTTTTCCCCCTCAAATGGTATGCATTGTGTTTCTTCAATCTTGGGTAATCCTTATCAAGTTACCATCTATACTCCATTAAATTGCTATCCGACTCCAAAAATACTCTTTGCTCAAAATCTTATTCTTGCTGGAATTGTGAACTGTGTAATGTTGTACACATGGTACACATGACGGTAGCATCAAAGGAATGGTCTGGCTTTATAGCTCGAGTCCAGCTTTGCCGTCACAATCTGTGAGTCCATCTTTATAGGAAATCTTTAAACAATTAAATTCTAGCTGCTGGTTATCTCCTGCTTTTTGTTGGTGCGAAAAACCAGCCCAGTTAGACTGGCTTTCACCAGTTTGAAGCAGGTCGAGTGCATGAAAACAATCCTATTAACAAACTGGATTTCTGCTTTATCTGGTTGGGCTGCCATCTTGGAAGGGGAGATGAACACAAATGCAAGCTGCTTGATGTTATATACTTGGCATATATGCTTTTATGTGATGTCTAGATTCTAAATAGATGCTTGGAATGACAAGACAAGAACTTGTGCTGGATCAGAATGTTCCAGGCGTCTCAGGTCAAAATAAAACATTATCTTAGCATGAACAAATGGCATTCAAGATAACAACCAGATTCCAACAGTAGCTTTATTGATTTTGTACACAGTTTCACCAGTTGCAAACTGTTATTGCTATTCAATTGTTAACTCGCAAACAATTTGCACCATATGCCCATTATAAACTAGATCTAGAATACCGGTATCAATCCATAGTATGCACAGCAGCTATAATTCATGCTGCTAAATGCATTGACATGATCAATGTAGAAGAATGAAATATCATAGCAAACAAGATGTCTTCAGGTTATTTCAGTTCATTTTATGAACATGAAAGATAAGTCATATTTTCCCAGAGATAAAAGAAACTTACAGTTTTCTGGCCTGATGGGCTTATGTACTCCACATGAAAACCAATATCCTGTCCATGTCAAATCCATCACTAAAAATTTAGGAACATTTCATGCACTACCAAAGCATTTCAACTGAGAAATTAACTGTCATCAAGCTTCAAACTAGTCAATTCAAAACGTATTAGATTATGACCATTGGTTCAGCTACATAATTTAGATATAATCTTCTAGGCTTTGAGCTGTACCGTTTATTCATGTTAGATTGACCACTATACACCAAAGATACGGTAATATAATGAAGGACTAAGCTATTAAAAGTATAACGAGGAAGATGTCAGTTCTGAACACAGTAATTAAATCACCTCCTACTAGCATTTAAGGATTATGAAAACAACAGGTAAGGAAAGGCTGCAAAAAAGAATGTGTTCGCCGTGGGGGTGAGGGGGTTGAACTGAAAGGACTGTTTTTCTTCTGTAGAGTAAAAACCAGGAGCTCTGCTATTCATTATAGCATGGGAAGATGTTTATTCATAAGGATAGAGATTTTACCAAGACCATGTTGAGGGCCCCTTGTTGCAAGGAGAAGTCCCATGCAATGTATGAGTTGACAGCCTCAACACTAAGAATAACCTGAAGAATATGAATGACACAACATAAGCACTTCAGGACACTCCAAGTGACAATGCACTGTACTAAATGTTCCAACAAAATACAGTTCAATGCACTTCGATTTCTACAGACCAAATTTTCCTTACATATTATTCTATAATATCCAGAAAAACAATTGTGCCCAACTCAACTGATACCTCATGTGTCTTTCCTGCTGGAATAATGGTTTCTTTGTAGTCGTCGCTGTTCCTACAAAAGGAGTAGAAGAAAAGTAGGTAATCTTCCTGTTCTGCAAACTTATCTGAGATAAAATGCTCAATTACCAAGGTATGATGCACCATAACTCTACTGCAAGGAGAAAGTACCTTGATTCAGCACCTGCATCCTCAGCAGATATGAAGAATGGGGCATTCACAAAAACTTCGCTGCAATTGAGTGCCACTTTTAGTTAACAAGTTCTAGATATATATTAAGGTGTAGTATTACATGGCAACCCTGCATTTGATAAGCATCAAAACTGCAGAGTTGACTAAACTTTTTATGCTTATTTGCAGGTTTTGTTATTCCCACAAATGAAATTACAATTAGCTGATTTCGGAAAGTGATTTTGCTTGGGTTGGGGGTGGGGGCTTGGCAGGAGGTGCAAACATAGCTAAAGAAGAGCTGAACTGACGACTCAAAATGCCATACAGTTAATAAGTAAAACAACATATAAAACCGCAGCCATGCCAACCAAAAAAGAGAACAACTACGGCATTAAATCTATATCAAAGCCTTAAAAAAAAGAAACCCAAAATAGTTCTTGAATATAACAGGAGAAAATAGTAGTCTTGTTTATTTCTAGTTTGCAAAATGCACATTCGCTTTCCACAGAATACAAACAGAAGATTGCCATAATTTAAACAGAAAATGCATAATTAAGCGCAATAAATGGTGTTTGATAACAAAAACTATCATTACCCTATGAATTCAGTGAACTTCTCAAATTCCTCGGTGTAGATAGCCACAGCCTGCTGCAACACAGCAATGTCATCCTTTTCTCTGTTCATTTTTTTTTTCATAAATAATTTTAGGAAAAGGTCATGATGTCTCAAAAGAATGTGATATAATAGTTAGTAAAAGACAAGGAGAATTCTACCAAATAGAAGTTCTCACATTTTCCTCTGCCCATATCGTGCTAATGACACGTGTAGATACAATCGAATTGCAAGCACCAGTTTCGTAAGAGTGTAAAGTGCTGGCCCATAACGTTCTCTTTGCTCTTCCATAGGTCTGAATAGAAATTTCAATTGAAAAACAAATCAACTATTCATGCCATTACTGATTACTCCGTAAACCACAAATCTAGTATACATGGTACTATTTGCGAAATTATGTTTGATAAAAGAAAATACGCAGGCATATATACCCATTATCATCGTTAATTTGCCGAATGAAGTCCAACAGAACCTGGAATATAGTCAATAAAAGAATCAGGATGTCAAACGATGTCACCATTGCATTATAAGTTTTATCAGAATTCAAGTAGCAATCTACATTTCGTTAATAGCATGTCATTAATGTAAACACATGATCCTTCAAAGAAGCTTGGATAGATGTGACAACTGAAATTCTTCATCAAAAAATATACTAGCATTGTCAAGATGGTGAATATGACCCCAAAAAATTGGCTAACCTGAGGGACACCGACCAAGTACCTAACAAGCGTCTTATATACACCTGTTGCAGAACCAAGTTGTGCCAATTGCACTCGCCTACAGCACAAAATGAAAAATGATATAAAGATTTACTGAAATTGAATAGGCATAGGCTGTAAATTAAAATGAGAACCTGTCCATTTGCTGTTTCCACAGCAATGCATATCGATCACGAATGCTTCCACCAGCATTAACTAAAGCATCTACCTCAGCTTGCTTATTTCTCTCAGAGCGTTCTCGCTGTTGCCTGATTAGTGTACCACGGAAATCTTGTGGCATGTAGGTCATAACTGCAATATTTATAATTTATAAGTGCAGGTCATTAAACACAAATGCACTTGATTAGTACTGATACACCAAAAATTGTGGAACTAAAGAATGAACAAGTCAAGAGGAAGAAAAGTAACATTGTTATATTCTAGAAAAATTAATTGCTAATATATCTGATGTTATAGTAAACTATGAAAAGTCACATGGCAAGGACAGAATTTTCATGATAAGATTCAACAATATGTATTCGCATTTAGTTATTATTTTATGCAATGTATCGCATGAAATAGAAATCAATGGAAAGAACATCAACCTGTATTGAAAACATTATCAGCATTTTTTATTTGAAACTGTTCTAACTTCTTCAGCATGTCCTTCAATTTAGTTTCAACATCATCAAGTATAATAAATGTCTCAGTGTCCTCTGCCGTGGACCTCTGTTGAAGCTGGTTACATGCAGATGCCAAATGTTAAATAAAGTAAAGTTTCAATCCATTCATTCAAAGTGATCAAAAGCTAATCTTACTGCAACAGGACGACGAGATTTGTTAAGCAAGAGCAAAATTTCTTCCATTTGTTCTCTATTTTTCCACAAGTTTTCATCAATTTTGTGAGCAGGTATCCCATTAGCTTCTTTTTCCAAGAGCTCCTCATCTTGCACATGAAAAAATGATAAAAGCATCATTTCAAAACAATGTTCTCTTCATAAATATAATGTAATATTGTAAGCCTCAGAGTTTGGGACAAAAGAGTATCGGGGCTGACTTTTAGAGTCAACTGAAAAGGAACTTCTTTACAAATGTATGAATATCAAATTGTAATTTTCAAGCCTAGAAGCATTAAACACTTACGTACTCAGAAATATTTAACCAGCAATCCCTACATAGGTGAATGAACACAGGAATTAACATGAAACTTGTGATGCCCGGAATTTCCTAACCAAACTCCAGCGCTGATGTAATAAAATCCTCATACATGAATCAGTTGAGGGAATATACAGTACTGATAAACAGACTACAAGTCTTTAATATGAACAAAAGACTGCAATTTATTACATAGGTGGATAGGAGCCCTCAATCAAAACTAAATGTTTTATAGCAGCGGAAAATAAATTAACTAGCATAGATGACTCCACCCCACAAGCATCTTGATCGGGATCCAGTCTAGTCCTCCAAGCATATTGTGGAGTGGAGTCATCTATGCTAGTTAATTTATTTCTACTGCTAGAAAACATTTATATTTTACTGAGAGGTCCTATCCACCTCTGTAATAAATTGCACACGTTCATTCACATTAAAGACTTCTACTCTGTTTATATATTGATTGTATATACCTCGGCTGATTCTTGGACGAGGATTTTATTACAGATAAATGCTGAAATTTGGTTAGGACATTCAAACATGAGATCTGCACTGCATTGCCACTTGCTAGATTATGCTATCCTGGGTATTTTGTCCTATTAAAAAGCCAGTTTCATTTTTGTCATGAAGTAATGTGCACACCTTGTTTTTGCAACTGGAATGGTACGTTATTAGTCCAGGAGATGGAAAAGATTGTTATGCCAGATTAGTAGCAAGAACAAATTGCTCAAAAAACAAGTAGCACAACAAACAAAATAGATTTAAAATTGGATAAGACAAATGTTTTTCTATGTTGTCTCTTAAATGAAATGAAACCAAAGTGCAATGTTACGGTGTCTTAGAGCCTCCAGCCCATCATTGTATGTTTGGTTTAATAATAATATATTTTCTCAAACATTTCAGAAGATTATGTGCATTAAGTTGATATATTCTAAACTCGTATCCAATCACAAGAATCCTTCATGATAGTAACTAGTCCATTGACAATGTATATTGACTAGCAATGAAGAATTACATGATCCTAACCAATGTTTGATGATCTTTCAGCAAATAATAGTCCCAATGTTCAACAGTTCAAAATCAGACAGGCTTCATCACATCCACAGGACTGGCAAGAGATGGTACAGGCACACCAAGGCCCTCTTGTGTGGGTACATCTATTTGTGTAAATATGTAACCTCTGTTATAAGAAGACCAACCAATGTGATAAGAAATCATGGTCTTTTCGATCCAGGTAAGCTGATAAACAAGTGCCCATGATCAAATCAACTAGAAATATTTGCTATCACGTTGATTGTACAAACACAGAAAGTTTGCATGGTCATACTAAAAATAGCGTTTTATCAGAAAACCACATATATGCAGCGTGAGGTGGCCATGGCATCGGCATCAAGAGCACTGAGAGTTGTGACAGATGGCAAATTTCAGGTGACAGGTTTATCATATATGAAACAAGACAAGACAAGAACCTCAAATGTGATTTAAAGTATGGGCCTGCCTACCAGTACAGAGAGCCGTTGGACAGGACACCGATTGGCAGCTTCCTAAGAACTTTGAAGATTAATTTTGGAAGTAAGCAATCAACCCATTCAACTTAAAACAACTCTTGCTAATATCTAGGAGTACGAACCAATATTTAAGAATTTCGAACAAGTGAACAACTATGAACAGCGTGTGTACTAACACCGTTTAGCTCCATTAAGACGCGAATTTCCATTGCTAACCCAGCAAGCAACTCTCGCTAATACCGTCGACATAACTAACCAAGGCTAAGCTGCGCCGTCCCTAAAAGCAGTATCGAATTCCAAGCACACCACAAGCAACCAGCTAGTTAGCGAATACACGGAAGACACTAGCGAAACAACCCACGCGAAACGCCAACAGATTCCAACCCCCAGGACCCCCCGCGAGATCAGGGGGGGGTGGAGAGCCGGCGCGGCGGCGGCTGCGGCGGCAGCGGAGAAGCCAGCAAGCGGTATTGCGGGCGAGATCCAGGGGTGGGAAGGGGGAGATCAACACCTGGCGTGATGGGGGCGGCGGCGGCGAGGGCGAGGGCCGCGGAGATGGCGCGGAGGCGGTCGGCGAGGGCCGTGGCGGCGTCGGGGAGCGGGGGCAGCGGGTACTTGTCGTAGTAGCGCGCGAGGTATGCCCGCGTGATGGGCACCAGCCCCTCCGTCGCCATCTCCGGCGGCCGCCCGCGGGTGGGTCGAGCTTGTCGGCGGCGGTGGCGTGGGGCGGAGGAAACGGAAGTGGGGGGAGGGGGGAGTCAGGTGCGGGGCACGTGCTTTGGACGGTTGCAGCTTTGCAGGCAGGGGAGCAGAGGAGGGGGTGCGGTCACCGGGAGGTGGGGTTTAAGAGTGGAGAGGAGAGGAGGAGAGGCGAGACCGAGAGAGAAAAGAGAAAGAGAGGTTGGTGGGCACACGACACGGTGGCGTGGATGCAACAGCCGGTGGTTGGGTTTGCTCTTGCTGCGTTGCCTTTTGTTGGACCGGGGCTCCACGGTGAGACCGAAATTATAGTTAGTGGATTCTTTTTTTTTTCCCGCACACATCACTGGTCACACTCACACATCCGCAAATACGATCCCTAACTCACCCTCGAAGAGACGCAAATTCTGATCTCATTAAAAACACGTTGAAAAACTGCTTGCCATGTGCGTAATAATTCTTTATCGTAATTCTGCTTGAACTTTTTTTCTGTATTGTATCGTGAAATTGTTTCAATAATAAACTAAGTACTAGTACTACACCATTACTAATTGTTATTTATTAGCAGTTTCGATGACCTAATATCAACAGAAAAATAGTGGAAACTTTTGGGGATCAAGCAAGAAGACTTTCTATTTTTTGACTGTTGAATATGCTTTCAGATTCGTGCAAGAGCTAGGAGAGGAAAATCTTGTGCACGATGTTCCATTCACATGTCGGCCGCCCCTAACACATATGCACAGTACGTTTTTATAGTTACAAGCAAGTTCTTTACTCCCTCCGTCTTATTAAAAAATGAATTTGTATATGGGCTAAGCCCAAATCCATAGCTAGCAGTTGGCTCTTTGACAGAGGGAGTGCATATTTTGGGTGGATTTTATGTCAAAGTTGAATAACTAGTCAAATTTATTAAAAGGAATTATACATTTATCAAGTGATTTGATGAGGAACTAAGTCCCGATCTTTTGATATGTACTGGATAGGTCGATTATGGAGACTAAATATTGATGATCCAAAGGCTTCGACCAGAACGAATGATTCAACTCCTCGCAATCACTACATCACTCCTCTATTGGTTATCAATCGAACTGAACACGATTGATCTCCCCGATAAGACTATCTCCTGCAAGAGATTCAAGAACACAAACAAGAGAGTAGAAGATATAATTTGAATATATTGTGAATATAAGATGAATATCACAAGTTGGGTGTTTACAAACCGAACTAAACAGCGAAACTGCAATGGCAGAATAATGTAAGCAAAACCTAACTCGAAACAATAACAACATCTGAATAAATATGATTAAGGATGCCATAGGGTTAGCCCTAGGTGCACTCCCCCTTGGGTTTAACCAGTGATAAAAATACAAAGGACCAAAACCCAAATCAAACTCGGATTAGAAGAGATACTTGACTTGTTTTGCATATTCTCAAAGTTCATGAGGAATTTTGACGTGGAACCAAAACCATATGAAATTAGACTTCATAAGCTTTCGAACAAGTACTACTCATACATCCCGAGAGTCCTTCTAGATTAGCGGCTAGATCAGTTTGAAGTTGATGTTGATACGAGACTCGAATCCGAATCCAAAACATGCAGAACTTTCTCACTTGCTTTATATGAATCAAAAGTGATGTGGTAATGTAGAAGTAGACTTTAGGAACGTCTTGGTTTAGCCTCCAGTCAACTTCTTTGATCATGCATACACTTCTTGCGTTCGTTCTCTTTTCCTTCACCTAAGCAAGTGCCTTGTAAACGAGAACACACAGAACTCATGGTGCAATAACATTTTTTCAAATATATAACATGTAAATCTTTCATTAAAAAATATGCACTTTTAATTGATTAATACATAAGGTAGCTATCGTATCCGAGCTAGTGATGTCGTCATCACAATTTATTTTCTTTCTTATGATACTTTTTTTCTTAGAGTAAATTTCACAAAGCTACATATAGTTGAACAAATTATCACAAAACTACAGATTTAAGGCTTTGTGTCATAAAATTACAGATTTAGTGGCAAAATTCTCACAAAACTAGAATTGAGTGGCCAAGTATTACAAAGTTACATATTTGATAGTAAAGCTATCACAAAACTAAGTGTTTAAATCACTAGCACTACTTTTATGTTCGAGCTATAAACATTGTAATTTTGCAATAAATTGGCATAAAACTATAGTTTTGTGATAAATTTGTCACTAAATCTTTAATTTTGTGATACTCCATTCTAAATCTTTAGTTTTGTGAGAAATTGCACGGTAAATCTGTAGTTAAACCTTAAATCTATATAGTCGATAGTTTGATTGAAATATATATAATTTCGTGAAATTTACTCTTTTTCTTACTTTCGATTGCTATTTATACTCTGAGGATATCGAATTTGTGGCTGAAATTTTTTTTTTCTTCTCTGTCGTTTTTTAACACTCTCAATATGCACTTACGTGTATTGTTTAGCGAAGCAAACATTGTTCTAATATATTTTTTAGAACGATATACGTTGTTTAATTTCTTATTAGCATGAAAAAGGATATGATGTGTTGAATATATAGCATACGTATTATGCGTTGAATATATCTTCTCGGGTTGAACCATGTCCGCATACATGACCTATACTAGTTCAAGGGGCATTTTTTTTTTTGAGAATTATACAGCACAACGCAGACACTTACAACGCACGCACCCCTATGAACATCTTCTAAGACTGGGCCGGCAAATTCTGGAGATATTGACGAAGTCACCACAGGCGCCTCGCTGTCGACGGATACATCGCCTACCACTGAAAGCACAACGCCGTTAAATCTTAGAAAATTCACTCTCATGGGGAGTCGAACCCATGACCTCAGGTGCTACTGAGTGTCGACCGAGCAATCAAAAGACAAGAATTATACTGGTTTAGGCCCCTTGTTAGGTAATAACCCTAATCCAGTTGATATGGGATTATATGGTGAAAAACACAGGTTACAAAGGAAAAGATGGAACTCGGGGGGTTTGGCGAGATTGTAGTCGAGTTGATTCGACTAGCTCTCGTCGACTTGGCTCCTCGCAGGCTCTGGCTTCGTAGGCTGTGTGGGTTGTGTTGGCTCTGAGATTCTATGATCTTTGCCCTCCCCGGGGGGTCCCTTTTATATCGCGGGTTTGGTCCTTTCCGAGTAGGACTCGAACATGTCAAACCCAGCATGATACGTAGGCAACCCAGTTCTTGTCCGAGAAGGACTCTTCTCGTCCATTGATTCCGTGAAAGGTTTCCTTAGGTCATAAAGGAAATATCCGCGTGTGCGTGGGTAGGCCATGCCGATACGTAATGTATATCGAAGGGTAGAGGGTATGCCTTACCCGTAACCCTGATAGTAGCCCTCGACTTCTGCTCAAAAAACGAACTCGTGCGACTATTCGCGACTTCGGGGGTTGAGAACGTTACCATTCCAGGTGTGAGAGACCTGGAGATGACGTGTAGTCGAGCGTCCCATTTGAAGCCCAACGGTCACGAGTGATTTTTAAACTGAAGTCTAAAAACTACCGCGCATAACGGACCTAGAAATTTTCGGCGGGGATTTCTCTCGGTTCCTTGGAATTCGCACCATCGGGAGTGCGCTTATTTAAAGGGATTTTGGGTGCACGTTTTGAAGTCCGCCCACTTCGTCAAGCACACACTGCTCATTAACGCTCCTCGCCTTCTTCGCCGCCACAAAGAACCCTAGCTTCGCCAGTTTTCGTCCATCTCCAGCGATCTTCCGGTGGCCATGGATCTTGGCAAGTCGGCTTCCACCAATGCGACCCTGAAGAAGCTCCAAGAGGATGGCGCCCTTCCTGGCCGTGAAAAGACGGAGAGGGAAGCAGGAGGTACTAATCCACAGCCCCTCTTAGGTCGCATGGTTGCGATCGAAGATTATGTTGTCTACGGGTTTCTTCCTTCCCCCCTCTGAATTCCTTCTGCTAGTCTTGAATTTCTATGGGCTTTCACTTCTGCATTTGAACCCCAACTCCATTGCTTTCCTTAGCGTTTTTGTGCATCTTTGTGAGGCCTACATTGGGGTAGAACCCTTTCTTGACTTGTTCCGTTTTTACTATGAGTTGCGCTGGATGGAACCCAATAGGGTGTCTGGTTGCGTTGGGTTCCGACTTCGTGACGGAAGGAAGTTGTGCTGTCCCCTTCTAGTGTCCCTCTTCTCGTAGTAAATGGCGGAACAGGTGGTTTTACCTTGAAATCAAGGATTCAAATCCGGTCCTCGTTGTTCCTGAGGAGCAACCAGACAAGATTCCAGTTTGGACCGCCAAGCCCCCTTTGACCCCCTCTCTCCAATCGTTTATTGACATCATCGATGATCTCCGAGAACGGGGCTTATCGGGATATGAAGTCGTTGCAGACTTCGTCGGTAGGCGAATCCAGTCGCTCCAGGCTCGGGCCCACCCGGCATATAACTATTCCGGGCCAGATGACGCGACCCGGGTTTCTCCTCGGGGTATCCTTCTCGTATTCATTTTGATATGCTTGTACTCGCGTTCCTTTTCGACTTATCAAGAATTGATTCTTTCTTGACAGGTCTGAGCAGCGAAGTCGTGGAGCGACGCACTGGTCAGGTGATGATCAGCGGCCTGACTACGGCGAGCAACATTCCCGCGCCCCTTTGTGAGAGGGGAGCGGGGGAACGCGATGAAGCAATCAATGTGAGTTTATTTGAATAGCTTCCGCCTTCTCCGTTCGAAATCAGCTTATGATCAGACTTAGCGTAGGCCCTTCCCTTGACTGATGTCGTCGGCCCGCTCGCGGATCATCAGGTGGTGACTTCTCTGAAGGAGAAGGTCGTCGAGGAGGCGTCCGATGCTGCCACCACTAGTGGTGGCAAAGTTCTGACCAAGCCGAGGAAATTCTCGTCTGTGCTCGGACATCGCCGCAAAGCGGAGACTCCCTCGGTAATTTTCACCTTGTCATTAGGCTACGTAGTGAGGAAGATTTGTTCTCACTTTATGTCGGCGGTTTTGTAGGTTTCCGACGCGTCCCCTCCACCTGCACGTCGTCAACGCATTGTGACGATCCGCGAGAAGTAAGTAAAGAAACTTTTAGACTCTCGTGTCTTCTGTTTGAGTGGAATCTTGATCTGCGGAAGCTGACAGGGAGGCGCG